ATTTTAGATTTACAGTTAAAGCGGCTTCGAGTGCAAAGGGTTAATATTTCTCAGCCGGTTATCGAACAAGCGCTGATCGATCGTATTTGTCAAAGAAATGGCGGCGCGAGGGGCACAGTTTCGAAAATGCGCCCCGTCATATAAAATAGAGACAGCATAGTTCAGAAAAATCATTTTAGATTTACAGTTAAAGCGACTTCGAGTGCAAAGAATTAATATTTCTCAGCTGGTTACCGAACAAACGCTAATCGATCACATTTGTCAAAGAAATGGCGGCGCGAGGGGCACAGTTTCGAAAATGCGCCCCGTCATATAAAATAAAGACAGCATAAGTCAGAAAAAATGATTTTAGATTTACAGTTAAAGCGGCTTCGGGTGCAAAGGGTTAATATTTCTCAGTCAGCTATCGAACAAGCGCTAATCGATAACATTTGTCAAAGAAATAGCGACGCGAGGGGCACAGTTTCGAAAATGCGCTCCGTCATATAAAATAGAGACAGCATAGTTCAGAAAAATTATTTTAGATTTACAGTTAAAGCGGCTTCGAGTACAAAGAGTTAATATTTCTCAGCCGACTATCGAACAAGCGCTAATCGATGTCAAAGAAATGGTGGCGCGAGGGGCACAGTTTCGACGGGGATGATACAGTTTCGGACGACGTGTTCGCGAGCAACGTTTCGCCCATGAAAATGTCGCGTCGGTTTCAACGGAATCGGAAGATAATCTCCCCGCGAGCGACGTCGAAGTTGCGGAACCCGGCGAGGATTTGAAGGCCGTAACGATCGGTTTTGGTTGTTCCGCAGGTGCTGGCAGCCTTGACGGTGTCCCTAGGTTCCATGGTGGTCGGCTACTCCAGCGCGTACACCTCCCCCGCACTGGTCTCCATGCGCGACAATGCCACGGCCACGTTCGAGGTTACGGATCAAATGGTGAGTACGAATGATTGTCGGGTGTCGTTTCGCCGCGGGCGACGAAAACGAAGGTGATACACGCTCGTCGCGCCGCCGCCGATATTATGCCACGGGTGTTTCAGCTATGACGGGAATGTTTGAAAACAAACGTGCTCCGAGGGGGATCGCGCATGCAATCTCGCCCGCGTTCCGCTGGAAAGAGAAACAATTTTATCCGGATTCTACCGCAGAACGGGAAACGAGCCAAGGCCGGCCAGCCGGCGGCACGGGCACGTTTGTTTTCGAACACGTTCGAGGATTGCGCGATGATCCCCCTCGAACCGCGCGGGCTTCGTTTATGATAAGTTATCGCGGAAGAGTTTCCGGAAATTCGACCCGCACCTGTCGTGACGTTAGGACAAAATAGAATCGCGGAAACGGAACACCGTGTATCTTCCCGGTCGATCCGATCGATACCGGAACGATCTGGCTCGAAGTTAGACAGCGTTCTCCGGCAAAAGTCGGAATCGTTGTACCGTAATTGGTATCATGGCAAACGTCGTTCGTCGATACCATGCCGTTTAGAGCGTTCCGTTGCATCGGCTTGCGAAACGGCGAAGCCCGGTGTCAAAGGGTTAACCCCTTGCCGTACCATTTTCTTCGTAGTTACAATGGTTTTCTGATCGTTCGATGATCGATTGTGATAATTTCTAAGAAGGAAAAAGATAATTTATATTTGTATTTGCCTGTATTTATGTAAACGTTTAAATATTGATGACAAGCGATTCGAATTTTATATATTTATATTTGCCTATATTTACGTAAAACTTTAAATACCGATAACAAGCGATTCGAATTTTATATATTTATATTTGCTTATATTTACGTAAAACTTTAAATACCGATAACAAGCGATTCGAATTTTATATATTTATATTTGCTTATATTTACGTAAAACTTTAAATACCGATAACAAGCGATTCGAATTTTATATATTTATATTTGCCTATATTTACGTAAAACTTTAAATACCGATAACAAGCGATTCGAATTTTATATATTTATATTTGCTTATATTTACGTAAAAGTTTAAATACCGATGACAAGCTATTCGAATTTTATATATTTATATTCGCCTATATTTACGTAAACGTTTAAATATCGATGACAAGCAATCAGAATTTTATTCGGACTGAAAAGAACGGAAAAACCTCCACGTTTAGCAGTTTATTACTAGAAATCTCCGTCACGTGTCAGGCTCGTCGAAGTATGGCAAGGGGTTAATAGCGTGGACGCTTCGATAAAAAAAAAGAATCGGAATTCGCTGGCTGCCCGTTTTGAGAATCACTGCGACCCACACAATGCAACTAAGTAATTCGCGCAACCGGTGCGAACTACTTTGCAGGCAACCGGGCTATTACGAAGGACCGATATCGAACGGAGAGTACAACAATTTATTATTCCACCTGACAGCCTATCATTGATCCGGCAATCGGCAAGGAAACCTTCGACTATCTGGAATAAAAAGTAGCGACACTATCTGTCGGAAAGATCTCGCACGCCACTGTACTCGCATCGACGCTCGACGCGGAATGAAGACGAATTTTTTCCCGACCATCGATCGTTCTCGCACGAACGCGCGAAGATCCGCGACCGGAAGTGGCACCGCTCTCCCTTGTTCGACACTCGCGCACCTTCTTTCGACGATCGTTAAGTGAACAAGAACAGCCGCGATCGACCGAATCCTTTTAAATCGGAGATGTCTCTCTCGGTTTTTTCGAGTTAAAGTTAAAGAAGAATCTGAACGTTCAAGTTCACGATTTTGCGTTGGAAAGTCGCAAGAAAACTGGCGATCGGACGAGGTAGCGAAGCGATTCTCGAAATCGGGAGATTCCTTGACCTAATTTGCAATAAATTCTCCAAAATTTTTCTACGGCTTGTAAACAAAAATGAGTAATTTGGGAAGAGGGGATGTTTATATTTGTTTTTACATTTATTATTATTATTATTATTACTATTATTATTTTCATATTTATATTTATTCGAGCCGCGAGGCTCATTTTTATAACCTGCCGATTTCCAACAATTATATAAACGAGCCTCTCGAACAATCGGATCTCCCCTTTCCAAATTGTCCATTTTTGTTTACAAGCCGAAGGAAAATTAGAAAGAATTTTTCTTTTCCTACAGCTTGTAAATAAAAGTGGGCAATTTGGGAAGAGGGCATGTTTATATCTATTTTTACATTTATTATTACTATTATTATTTTCATATTTGTATTTATTCGAGCCGCGAGGCTCATTTTTGTAACCTGCCGATTGCCAACAATTATAAAAACGAGCCGCTCGAACAATCGAATCTCCCCTTTCCAAATTGTCCATTTCTGTTCACAAGCCGAAGGAAAATTAGGAAGAATGAACCGAATATACCACAGGACGATTATTTCGAAGTACAGTAATGTCTCCCTAATTGACGCTCAGATTGTCCATAAAAATGGACAATTTTGGAAGAAGAGACACGATTATGCGAGCCTTGCAACTCGTTTTTACAGTTGTCGACAATTCGTAACTATAAAACCGAACCGCGCAAGACTCGACTAATAGTATCTCCTCTTTCCAAATTGTCAATTTTTATAGACAATCTGAGCGTCAATTAGAGAGAAATTACTGTATCTCGGAGCGTCGAAGTATACAATTTTGCCGTTAACATGGTCGGACCTCTTTCTCGACGGTTCCGACGATCGCAGCTACTCGTTCCCGATTAAGCAGTCGGTTCTGGATCGATCGATCGATCGAATCGTTTAGCGACGCTGGAACCGAAAGGGTACGTCGGCGAATCTCAGACATCGGCTGCGGGTCAATGGATGATTAAAACTTTAACCTCGAGTGCGTCAATGGTAGGACTTGGCTGATAGCTCGATTACGACCCCGTTGGCCAGCGGCCGGCATAATCATCGGGTGGGCAGGCCAGCCTCGAGCCTCGGGAAGCCGGCACAGCGATTGGCTGCCGCGTGATCGATGCTCGCCGCGTTTCGATCCCGTCGTAACCTTCGTAAACGATCCGCGCGGCGATTTCGCTCGCGCGAGAACGAGCTCGCGGCCGAGTTAAATCGACGGGCTCGCGATACTTCCGCGTTCCCTCCGTTTCGTCCCCCTTTTCCTCCCCGTCCCGTCCTGTCGCGTCGCGTCGACTCGCTCGTACCCGCGACGATCTCGCCGCGATACACCGCGCCGATCGCCTAACGATTTCCTTCCTTCCACGACGTTCTCTCCTTTCTTCCCGCCGCGTTTATTTATACTCGAAGGCCGTCGGACGATCGCTTCGTCGACGGCACCGGTACTCCCGATCGATTCGCGCGAGATCGCGCTATCAGGCTCCCGTAATTAGCCGTGCCGTTACGATGAGCGCGTACAACACGCCCGCCGCCCGATGCCTCTTCTCAACCGTCGCGTTCTTGTTTCAGGAATCTTGGATCGGATCGGTGATGCCTCTCAGCGCGCTGGTCGGCGGTATAGCGGGCGGCCCGAGCATCGAGTACCTGGGCAGGAAGAACACTATACTTGGAACGGCGTTGCCCTTCATCGCAGGTACCGTTTCTACGTTTTTCCGGTTTCGCCGACGACAGCTTTTCCGACTCATCGCCACGGGTATTAACCTCTTAGGCACGACGCGCCACTGTAGTGGATTTCGCGGATATCATCTTTCAGAACGATGCGCCACTATAATGGCTTTCGCGGATGTCATCTCTTTGAACGAGACGCCACTATAGCGGCTTTCGCGGATATCAGCTTTCAGAACGACGCGCCACTATAAGTGGCTTTCGCGGATATCATCTTTCAGAACGAGACGCCACTATAGTGGCTTTCGCGGATGTCATCTTTCAGAACGATGCGCCACTATAGCGGCTTTCGCGGATATCATCTCTCTAAACGACGCGCCACTATAGTGGCTTACACTAGTAGCTCACTCGCTCATCGTTTGAATCAAATAATCGTCTTCATATGCATTGTTTCACACTTCTTTTGTCTTCGTATCGATTTACAACAGTCTACAGGGTGTTCCAAAAATGTCTCACAATGCGGAAATGGCGGGTTCCTCGGATCATTTGAAGCAACTTCTTCCTTTACAAAAATGTTCTCCGAGGCACCGTTAACGAATTATTAACGAAAAACAGTGGCCAATAAGAATCGAGTACGGCTGACGCGAGGCGGTCCAGCCAACCAGCGCGCGAAGCCCAGTTCCGCTCATTGGCTCGGTCGCCTCGCGCCAGCCGAGCTCGCCTCTCATTGGTCACTGTTTTTCGTTAACAACTCGTTAACGGTGCCTCGGAGAAAATTTTTGTAAAGGAAAAAGTTGCTTCTAATGACCTGAGGAACCCGCCACTTTCGGATTGCGAGACATCTTTGGGACACCCTGTATAGTGGCACGCTTTAGTAGCTCACTTGTTCTCCGTTTGAATTAAATAATCGTCTTCCTATGCATTGATTTACATTTCTTTCGTCTTCACATCGATTTACAACAGTGTTAACAATATACAGACGGAATACATACAGTATCAGACTCTGTACAGTACGTATCAGAATCTGCCGTCCACGGGAATAGCCTCGCACAGAATTCAGCCGTACCTAAAAGGTTAATCGTCGCGTTTCGATTTCAGCCTGGCTACTTATCTCCCTGGCGTCGAACATCGCGATGGTTCTCGTTGGCCGATCCCTTTGCGGATTCTGCGTCGGTATCGCGTCCTTGTCGCTGCCTGTCTATCTCGGCGAGACGCTGCAGCCCGAGGTGCGGGGCACTTTGGGACTCCTGCCCACCGCCCTTGGTAACACAGGTATGGAAAACACTTGTATCTCGCAATCCGCGGATGGCACGCGCGCGAGTTTAAAGACTTTTCTTGGAACTGACTCATCGAATTTGTTCGGTTCGTCGCGCAGATCGTGCACGGCTGACACGGTTCTTAATCTTAGAAATTAATTCAGCTTGTGAACAATAGCGGACAAGTTGGGAAGAGCAGATGCGATTAATCGAGTCTTGCGCCGCGTTTTTGTAATTGTTGACGATCGGAATAAAAATGAGGCTCGAATAATCGTATCCCCTCTTCCTAAATTGTACATTTTTGTTTACAACCTGAAGGAAGATTGCACTCGGGTTTCGAGGGTTTAAGGGGTGGTTAAGGCGAAAGGGTTAACACGTTCCGTGCCACGTGCACCGCTGATGTATGGTACGTGCTTATGTGTTCATTTAACGCGCTAAAAAAATAGTTTATAACAAATTTAGAACCGAAGAATTAATTTCCACCGCAAGAATGGGGGTAATAATAAGTTTGTTCAATTATTTTAGATTTACAGTTAAAATGGCCTCGACTGCAAAGGGTTAATTATCGTATATATATAATATATAATAATATATATATATATATATATATATATATATATATATATATATATATATAATATAATATAATATATATAAATATAATATAATATAAAAAAAAAAAATAATATATATATATATATATATATATAT